GAGCGTAGCTGTGGTTGCCATAGAAACGGCGCAGGCCCCAGCGACTCCCAGACCCAGGCCCGGATTTCCTTCGTCCATCCCCCATAACTCACCAGCCGGGAGGAGGGAGAGAAGGGATGGAAGCAAGGGTGGAAGCGGGAGGGAGCCCTTCCGAGGGCCACACACCTTGGCCGCTTCTCCCGGCATGCTTCCCTGCGGCTGCCAGTCCACCCCTAAGGCCAGCCCGGCAGGACCTGCCCTCACATACGCCTGTGTGGCGGCTTCGTGCATATGCATGCACAACTTCCATGGCACAAACACAGCTATGTCCCCCGCCCACTCGCAGGCGGCATACACAGGGGAAAGCTGGCCCTACGCATGCCAGCCGGCCGGTACCGGTTGACCCCAGCAATCTCAGGCGCTCTCTCTGCCCTCCCACACCGGCCCCCGTACCTTGAGTCCCCTGACCTCCACCCTGAGGCCATGGACAATTCGGTCCCGGGTATCCTTACACAACAGATCAGGGAGCGAAGGGACTCAGCACCCAGGCTCCGGGTGGCTTCACGCCAGCCAGCAAAACTTCTGCCTCGTTATGCTCCTTCCACAACCTGGGAGCCACTGCCCCCCTTAAATGATGCCCGGCAGAGTGGTGGGCATAGTGCCTAGACAAGATGGCTGTGCCTCTTACTTCCCTGATCCCTTTTTGGGACAGAGAAGCAGATGCTGGGTCCCTTGTAATCCCCACCTGCCTGGCTAGTCACCATCAAAGTGTTGGTCTTAACACCCTCGATGGTGGTACTGAGTGGCACAGAGATGGGAGAATCCTCTGAATGGAGAGGAACTTGGAGAAGGGGCAGGGTTTCCCCTGATTCCTTAGGGTGGGAATGCACGCATCCTGGCAGTGAGGGGAATACAGTGGACACAGGAAGGCAAGGGGCACTTGGCAAAATGTCAAACCCCTGGGGTCCCTTGTCCCTGGGAACTCCCTGAGAGGAGGGACTGGCTCCCCATGTCACCAGGCACCACCCAGTTCCACAAATCGTAATTAGGTCCATTAAGAAAATGAGCTTGGAGGCCTTGAATGGGGGGGGGCCTTGAGGGTTCCTCCCCCCTTACCTGTGCTGCCCCCCACAAGCACCCTCCTCCAAGCCCAGCAGTGAGGTAGACAGATGAGACCTGGCATTGGGACACCCGGTAAGAATAGGCACAGACTCCTTGAGTCATCAGGAGACACCAGCCCCACTCGGTTCCCATGGGAGTAATGGGTCACTCAGGCCCCTCCCTGGCCCTGGCACTCGGGTGGGCAGGAGTCTCGGGCCTGGGGCACTGGGAGCAGGAAAACGGGTTAGACCAGGCCTGGCTCCAAGCTGCCACCCCAGCTTGCCTGTCCATCCCCAGACCCATAGTCTCCTGTTTCTCCCCCAGGCTTTGGGGAGGGGGCTGTCCCTGGAAAGCGCTCCAGGCCTGGAGCAGCTGCACCCTGGGGCCTCTGTCCTGGAGCCTCCCCCATGTTTCCAGTCCCACTTGGAAGCAGCCCCTCCCTGCTGCACCGCCAGTTCCCCCTACAACACACCTCATTCCAGCAGGGCGTAAGCCTACAGGTAACTCAGTGCCTCAATGGGGCAGGCCAACCTTAGCGAAAGAAATAGAAGCCACCCTTACCTCTCCCTGTGCTGAGTGGCAGGAACAGCCCCTGAAATGCCCCCAAAGCTGGGTATAGGAGGGCAAGACCTGTGGGTGGGATGGCTGAGCCCAGCTAGTGCCCAGGGGCAAGGGGACAAAAGGGGTGGGTGCCAAGAGTCCCCAGCCACAACTCCTGGAAGACCAACGTGTCTGCTTGGATGGGGCGTTTCAACTGAATCTGTCATCCTCCTGGACCTGGTAGTGGAGAGGTGACGCTAGGCCCCAGCGACTCTGCAGCCGACCCCGCCCCCAGGGCCCCGCCTCCTGCGGAAGGGTGCGGGTGGGCG